CCCTCTCCCCGCGGGCGCCCACGCACCTGTCCCCGCGCCGGCGCCCGCTCCCGCTCCCGCACAGGCCCGGCCCCAGCGGCCGCTGTTTTGTTTCCGAGGTGAAATCTCAGCCCCCGGAGCTGCCCATCCAGCCCCGCCCTGCGAGCCTCGCGCTGTCGTCACTTCCGGCGCTGGCGCCGTTGGCGGCCGCCCGGGAGGGGGCGGAGCTTCCGGCCGAGCGTGGACGCGGCGTGGGGAAGCCTCCGCCCCCCTGCGTCCCGGAGCGCCCGGCTCGGCCTGCGTGCGTGGCCGCTGCGGCCGTGGGGCAGTCCCCGCCTGCGAGCGGCGACACGCGAACCCTAACATCCAGCATCTCACTGCAGCACCTGTTTGCAGTTCCTTAACATACGAAAGACAAGAGTGTTATTTAAAATTGTGAACACGCGCTCCCTCACAAATCAGAACTTCTGGTGGGTGGAGAGAAGTTGAAAAGCTGCGTCTGCACCAGCTTTCTGGTTCTAGGACTCCAAGTTTGGGAATCAAGTCTTCCTAGGTGGTACCCTGAGAGGCTGAGAAAGTGTCTCTTCTTCTACTTCCCAAACCTAACACTTGTTTCATAATGGATTGTTCGTTTCTGCATCTGCCACTTTATCCCGTTGTAAAGCCACTACCTACAACTAATTCATAAAGTAGCCCACCACCTTCATCTGAAAACTAGGAGGGGAAAATGAACTAATGCATCACACCAAACGTAAGAAAAAAATGGACCCGGTACCGGAGAAAAACCCAAAAGAAAAAAAAAAAAAAAAAAGAAAAAGAAAAAAATGGAGAAGTGTTCAAACTCACAGGTAATCAGCGAACTAAAAATGAAAATTAATGATAGCATCTGGGCAGACTACATTTTTCTAAAATTCCTTCCCAGGCCATCCCTTTCACATCCTACTACACTGACCCCAAATCCCTCTCTTCCTGCGGGGCACTCGAGTCTGCTTCCGGCACTGTACCAACAGATTTCATCAGCTCTTACAACCAATAGCTTCACATTGAAGAAGTAATCCTTTCTTTAAAGTGGAAAAAAATAAACTAGGGGGGTGGGCTTGGTTGAACCACCAAAACTTTTTTAAAAATTCCTGACCAGGCGTGGTGGCCCACATTTGTAATCCCAGCACTCGGGAGGCTGAGGCAAGACTGCTGTGAGTTGGAGGCCAGCCTGAAGTACATAGGGAGACCCTCTCAAAAACAGAATTCCTCATCCTCCCTTTCACCCCTTAACTTTCATGAGTAGGGTGTTTTGTTCCTTTGCTACTCGTATATTACAAGTGCGGAGAACAGTGCCTAGCACATGGAAGAATTCATATATTTGCGGAACAAGCATCAGCTAAAATCCATCTGTTTGGTAACTAGTTCAATGTTTTATTTCAACTGTTAATATGACGACATCTGAAAGTGCTGTAAACTAAGCCTGGCATGGGGACATAAGCCTGTAATCCTAGCACCTGGGAGACTGAAGCAGGATTCTGAGTTCAAGGCCAGCCTGGACTGCACAGGGAGACCTGGTCTCCAAAAAAGGGTTGTTAACTATTCTTAGAATCCATCTCAATACAAAAGACTTTGTGTAAAGATATCCACAGAGTATTCACATGGCAAAAAATTGGAAAGCTGGGTGTCTCAAATTTAATGTCATTTAATGTCTCAATTTAATCTCATTTAATGTCATTACAACTGTTCATTAAAGTTACGTGCAGCAGAAATTTTTATTCTGTAAAAGGTACACATAGTTGTATTTACACTTAATGGTAAACATTCTTGCAAAAAGGAAAAAAAGGTGTTAGGATAGAAAGAAAGCAAAGTGACTTTGAATAACTGGATTACATGTACTTTCCAGTTTTCTACATTCTTTCTTTTTGCAATAGGAACAGCCAAGATGTACTAAGACAAGAGCAGCAAAAACATGAGGAAAGACAGACTGACGAGAATGAAGCAAGTAAGATCCTACACACAGGCTGAGTTCCAAGTAGACAGCAACACTGACAGTGCTGAGATGAACTAGTGTGTGCCCTCTTACAAGATCAGTCTCATTCAGGCTGTCACTAGTCACCAGCCATCAGTGGGGCTGTGAGATACAAAACAGAACAGGTTGAGTGAGATCTGAGACACTGGAGGGTACATTAAGATTCTCATTCCGGCATCTCAGTGTAGCAGAAAGAAGAAAGGATCCAATGTTAAGTTTTTGTGCTGTTCTTTAAAACATGTTTCAAACTGAGGAAAGAAAAAAGTATGTGAGTAAGGGTTAAGAAATTATAGAATTATGCCAAGTGTGGTGGCACACACCTGTAATCTTACCATTCAGGAGGCTGAGGCAGGAGGATCATGAGTTCCAGGCCAGCATGGGCTACAGAGTTAGCTCTGACATTTCAACTCACTGTAATTTAAGGGCAGCCTGAACTGCATAGAGAGATCCTGTCTACATAGATAGATAGATAGATAGATAGATAGATAGACAGACAAATAGACAGACAGAAAGAAAAAACTTAGAGAAAAAAACAAAAAAAAAAACAAGTGAGGTGAAGGAAGTCTTTCTGGATAGGGTACATAGAATATCTCTACTTCCAGAAGGGAAAGGTTTACAATGGGTTGTCAAACTTTTGAGAGCAAGAACAGCAGAGAAAAATGCCTGATAAACTTCCTGAAGTTTTTGTGAAACTTGAGGGGAAATAAAATATATCAAATGACTTTGAATCATTCAGTGAATTATTTTTTTTCAAGACTTATTTCAGCACTGAGGTAAACAGTAAAAGCTAGTGTCCATGAAAAAGAATGACCAAATACCAGTAAGTCCCAGAGTCTCTACAATGGGACATGGACATTTTACCCACAACTTTTCCAAACTTGGGAGCACGTAGAGAGAAGACTAAACAAAATAAATGATGGTAAAACCCAGCAATGTGGTGGTAGATGAAATAAAAGCTGGGCATGGTGACATACATAATCCCAGCACTCAGGAGGCTGCAGCAGGAGCACCACAGGTTCCCCGACTCCAAGGTCAGCCTGGATCATGTTTCAAAATTTTTGAAAGTAAAAGCACATTGTTGAACCTGAAGGAACTACCAGCTGAACAGGCTGATAACAGACTGAAAGCTGGATCCAATCACTACACCTAAGTCGGGACCTAGGACCTGGTCAACCAGAAAACAAAGGCCAGGTCTTTACACCAGATTTCAAGGTAATGCAATTTATTAACACTTTCAGAGCAAAGTGATCTGCCAGGAATATACAGTTAAGTATTCATTTTCATAGGGTTCGATGCTTGGCCGAATCCCATCTTTTTAGCTCTGACATTTCAATTCACCTAGACTGCTTAAGATCACAGACTGCTTCCTTAATCCTCCAGTTTTTCTAGCCTTAGATTTTGGCTATTTGTCACTGTTGTACTATATCTAATTTTCTTCTTTACAAGAACTTGGACCCCCTTATTTAAAAACTTACCTCAATAACATACTTTTAAAAATTTCAGTATCCACACTTTTCTACCCACAGCGACAGTCACGTCTCTTCCGCTGGGTTCACTTACCAAAACAGTAAAACCAACAGAAAAATAATAAACCTTCAGTTTTTGGCCTCTACGCTATAAAGCGTTCACTAATTTTTCCTCCAGCAGTCACTAGCTATAGGGCGACTGCGCACACACCATGCAAACAGTGCAACCAACGACTGAGTATCTGATACACTTCTGAACACAGAGTACCGCTGGCATGGCTACAGGAACTGAGCTTAAAAGCTTCATTAGGAAATGAGTGTTCGTCATTAGTGAGCTCTGCTTGAGAAAGCAGAGTTAGGCCATGAGTCAGAATCCCAATTACAGGCCTCTAGACAATCATCTGCAGGAACTTTGCAGTTACTGCACTGGGCAGAACGGACCAGGTATTCTTTCAGGTCCCTTCTATATATACCACATCTGTGAAAATGTTCCTACTGGCCCCTTCCCCTTGACTTTTTTATTTAGTACCAGGAATCAAACTCATGACCTCGCACTTGCCAGTCAGGCGCTGTAACAATGAATTATATCACCGGTTCCCCTGGACTTTGAACTCAACTGATCAAACTTGGTAATTCATAGAGCACTTTGTACACAGACACTGATGCTTAAGTATTCCTTGTTTTTTTCGGGGGGAACTCTTAAATGATCACCAACTAAGAGAATCTCATGTCTCCTCCACTTAGCTTATAACACAAATGGCACTTACGTACTGTAGTGTAAAACGTTCACTGAATGAAAATATATAAAAATATCTAACAGTAAGAGCGATTTTTAACAGGTTCAATCACGGTAGGACTATCAAATTCTTGTTTCTTGAATTTTTCTAGGTAATGTATGAATTTTATGCAAAAATAAAAAAAAATTGCAACCTTCACCGTAAATGGGTTAACAACTCAGTCCCATTTTGTTCACGAGAATCTAAGTCGTCAATCTAATACGTAATGTGGCAGAATAGACAAACTCTAAAGTGTCATTTAATTCAAACAACATAGATTGAAAAGAATTTTTATTCATTTTTGTTTATAGAAATTATTGCCTTTTCCTGGGCATTTTGACTGTCATTCCTAATTTGGTTTTTGTGACTCAAGTAATAAAATGAAATGCAAATCAGCAAACATAAATATTTCAATTTACAATAATCACATTTCCAAAATAATCAAACCAGCTTATCAAAAAATTGTAAGCTCACTTTGGTCTACAATAGAAATGTAGTATTTCAAGCTCTTGGGTTTAATATGAGTCTTCTTGACACCCAGACTGGTGGTTTTATTTTTTGGTCTGTTTGAGACTTCTACTATTCTCAGTGATATTCACCAATCATTTTCACCATCATTTCACTGAGCAAAGCTATTTCTCAACTTCATACTATTAATAGAAAGCTGAAATATAACCCAGAAAAACCTGAAAACATTCTGACATAAAACCTTGCATCAGTTTTTAGGGTATTAATTGGGGACATTCATAGAACTAATAATTATTCGCAAGAGTTGGGTAAATAAGAGTACATTTATGCTTTAAATTCTTTTCCTTTCATACATATGAAAGAAAAAAAAATCATAGTACAATCTGACTCTCAAGCCCACAAACTTTTTCAATTTGTCTGCCAGAGCTGGTAATGAAGCTTAATACTTGAAACAGCATTATATACTATTACAGTTTTACAGAAAGCACTATGAAAAAAATCTAAAGGGAACCTCCCCAGGGGTCAGCTGAGATAAAGCCTAGAATATTAGAGTGGTTCTCAGGCATCGGTCTGGAAGATTTCTTGATGTCCATAAGAAGATTCAAGTACATAGTACTTGCTCTGTAAGGTTTTCTTTACAATATACTTAAAAAGAAAAATAAGTTGCATCTGTGTTTTCTGTTAGGATAAAATAATACTGAGTAGTTAAAGTGCTAACCAGCTGGCCTCTTGACTACCAGGGATAATAACAGGCCCAGCCACCTAATCAGAGTCCAGGTGACTCAGGCACACATTAAAGTTCGAGAAAAACTACCTCAAACATTTCACTTACCATTCATCTCTTGTACACAGATGTATATACCTAAAGTAAGTTTTAGGGGCAAGTGAAAAAAAAAAAAATTTAGTGTTTTCACTGCCTGATCAAAACTGTTAAGACTTTCATGTACTTTTGTAACAATTTCAATTGACAATATGAAATAACATAAGGTTTCCAAGCTGAAATTAACGTACACACTTATGGAAAAGAAAGTTCCAGGAATCAGAAATATTTCACACCTATTTTCCCAAACACTAGAATATGCTACTTTACACATGTCCAATTCTTTATATGTAACTGTGAAAGACAAGAAACAAAAACAAGGTTTTATGTATGAAGCTTAGTGGTAAAATTTGATTTGAACTAGCATTAGGCTATTAATTTAGTGGTTTTTAATCCACTTACCATAATGATTCCTGCTCTGGTAAAGAAATGTTGATCTACGAATTTTGGATTGTTCACATAAACCTCACTGGAGGTGTTCTGCAGAATAAAAAGGGTATCTATCTACTCCTATAGGGAGTAGGGACTTCAGGTAAGTGACATCTCTAGTTTTTAGAAAGACACTTTAAGATAAGAATAAGATGCAAGAGCTGGAGAAGATATCAGTAAGATAAATTAAATCTATGTGTCCAAGCTTTCATGCTAATATTGACTAAAAAAAAAAAGAACCTAAAATGATACCGCAGAAGCAGCAACTACACAGTATTCCAAGACAGGAAGGCAAAGTAAGACAGGAGGACAAAAGTCTCAGGCTGGAGGGAGGATAAATCTAAGGGTAGTAAGCAAGTGTGCAAATGGCAAGGGACATCATTCTCAAATATTCCCTTGACATACCAAAATTTGGAATACTTTAACACTACATAGTTATTTTTATAAGATGTACATTAGATTCATCCAACATAAATAAGTGGCCTCTTTGACCTTCTGACACCAAGTCATAAAAATCAAGTCCACTAAAACACTGAGCCCATATTTTCAAGCTAAGTTTTCTAGTATGCACTAAAGAATTACAACATGATGCCATTTATTTACAAGACTCTGAAAGAATTCTGAGTCTCCCAAGATCAAATATATACATTTTTAATATGTGAAATATTTACATAATGGAACCATACCATGGTTCGGTGTTAAGAACAGTGTTTTGAAGTGTCCTCTTAAGAAGTAAAAAAATCTCGTTAACTCAATTTCACAATTATGCTTTTCTAACAGACCAAACTTTATCTTCTTTTCAAATAAATAGACATGGAAATAACTGCACCTTATTTGTGTTAAGAACTGTTTAAAACTTGTTACATTTGCAGGCAAACTTTGCTCCCTGCTGACACTCTGATCCACAATTTTAAAAACCCACAGGTATATCTCTAAACGTATCAGTATAAACTTTGATGAAAATAGGTACAAATTAGTGGTTGGTGTAGTGTAACTGCCTCGAATGACTCATCTCTGGATATAAGGTGTAAACTTTGTAAATTGCCATACTAAATTCTTACTGTGTTTTGTCAAACTCTCCTAGACTGTCAACTTGCCTAATTTTATATTTTGTCTTTTTTAAATTTTTGGTGCTGGCAATTGAACCTAGGGAGCCTCCAGCATACAAAGCATGAGCTCTACAACTAAGCTACATTTCAAGCCATATTTCTTTCCAAATGTTCTTAGTTTGAAGATTTTTTTTTTTAACTGAGGACCAGCTAGCGCAAAATTAAACTTTCCAAAATTTTATCATCTTCCTCATTTCTGAGCAATGAAAACAGGGCACTGTGGAGAGGAAGGTCACCATGATCTATTCTCTAGTACAATGGAAGGTGAAACAGCCAGCTATCAATAAGGAAACCCCCTGTTTAGTAGATAATAACCTAATTATACCAGACATTTGGATTCATACAGTATCAGTTTTCTTTTATGCTTCTGTAAGTAAATTAGGGAATACTTTTTGTACATACATTCACACAAACACATTCATACAGATACATACTGTAGGAACAGATTGTCTGCTAAGTTTTGCATTCTAATTTTAGCTTCCATGCCTCATGAGGGCTTGCCATTTCTGATCCAAGGGGGAAGAAGTACTAGTAGATATGAATGGTACTCTTCCAACTAAAATCATTCATGTTGTTTCCTATACAGTACAAGTCAATAGTAAGTGAAATTCTGCAAAAGAATTGGGGAGTCATTTTAATATTTACAAGGAACAAATCAGCAGAACAAGATTATATCAGATAGGCTGTGTACAGTAGCTGCAGCTTATAAAACATACCAGTAATCTGTACCTGGCAAGTATAAAGACAACCAAAGATTCAGATGACTTTACAACCAAGAAAGTACATAGGTCATTGACAAATTAAGAGGACCAAAAAAAATTTCACATTTTCTACATTTAAAAAAATTACAGATCTCACAAATGTCTTTGAAGACAAAGAAAAATTCAAAGTCCTTTAAAGGATGAGAAATAAGATATCTGAAATGGAACCCTAAGTGTAAAAAGAGTTTTTTACTTCACAAGACCAATTTTCTTGGCTTCTGTTTCATATATCAATAATCTCCACATTTTTACTATAAAAACTTCTGCTTCTTCATCAAGTACCTGTAACAAAAAAAAAAAAAAAAGTGATCAGCACCTTCCACAAGCACTTAATCCACCACAAGCACTTAATCTCAGTGAGACAACTTAAGGGAAGTAAGTGTAAGAAATGTCTTAATAGCACATGTAAGTTAACCCCCAAAGCAATTCAGTAAAACTCACTGGCTTACTGAACACTAACTCCACATTACTTTCTGATCAAACTTTTTTTTTTTATTCTTAACTTTAAAGATACTGTATTTTTGCATGTTTGGCAAAAAAAAAAAAAAAAAAAAAAAAAAACCCCAAGTAAACAAAGCAAATGCTTCTCCTAGAGACCATAGTTAATTTGAGAAAAACTAAATATAACTATGTAACACATAAAGTATCATTTATCCCCCCAAACAACATTACAATCTTAACATCTAGCATGTGCTTACTACACGACACTCAATAAAAGTTAAATGAAAATATATACAGGGCATTTAATACAGCCTCTGTCATACAGTAAACTACTTAAATGAACACTATTCTCACCACAGGGGACAAAGACTACTGAAAAACACAGCTTTTTCCATCCACAAATAAACCAAATGATTTTCCTATCTACTTAGCAGTTAGTATGCCTTGTGTTCCTGTATCTCCTGTCCTAAGTCCACATACACATTTGGCCCTCGTCTCCAGGGTTGTTTTGAGGACAAATGGGTATCTTGCTTCCGTCTGAAAGAGGCAGCTGACAGAGTTTGAGAATATTCAGTGCCTGGATGGAAAGTTGCCAAGGTCTTCCTAGAGACAGTTTAGGGGAGGAATTTTCTTTAGAGAACTGAACCTCCAGTCAAACTACACAGGATCAAATTCCACTTCTACAACCTACTAGGCATGCATCCTTGGCAGAGTTATATTTAATCTTGTTCCTTCATCTGTAGAATGAGAGGACATGTAGCTATGTCATAGCAGCAGGTACTGCCATCGGAATTAATGAGTTAATAGGTAATACATGCTTTGAAGAGTGTCTGATTTACAATTAATGCTTAAAAATAATTAGTGCTCAATTAAATTCTGAAAGGAAGACAGAAATTTTGACTTCTCTGAGAAATTTTATACAACTTATCAATGATGTCAACTTAAAAACTTTTAACCAGCAGGGCATGGTGGGGCATGCCTGTAATCCCAGCACTCAAGAGGCTGAGGCAGCAGATCTCCACAAGTTTGAGGCTAGCCTGGGCTACAACAGTGAGTTCAAGGCCAGCCTGAACTACATAGCAAAAACTTTTAACCAAACTTTTATGAGCCAGATTTGACCCTAGCTTGAGAATTATACTCTAAAAGTAATTCATATGGAAGTCATACTTGGCACAAAACTAAGCCAAAGTTCATTAATTTATGTAAAAGGAAGAAAGCTGTATCTTAAAAGAAAAAAAGATTATTAGGAGTAAGTACTACTTGAGCTGCAAAGTCTCTCAAGAATACTTAGGGGACCCAGGAGCTTTGAGTTAATAGAACTGTTTGACAACACAAATTCCAACGGGTTCCTCCTATTCCGATCAATAATGAACCAAAGCATACTCAAAAACTATAGTGTCAAATTATGCTCCAAAACTCAGAGTATTTCAACAGGTCAAAAACAGACTGAACAGTGACACGTAAAATCGTCAACTCTACCATAACCCCAAACTAGAACATCTACTGCACCTCCTGAGTGGGGAACTGAATCAGGGCACTCTACCAACCATTGAGCACCTCTCTAGCCCTTTTTATATTTTGAAATAGGGTCTCATTAAGTTGCCCACGGCTGCTCTAGAACTTATGATCCTCCTATCTCAGTTAAGCACAGTGGGCTTTCAATTATGAATAGCCTCACCTACAAACAACTTGTATTACAACCAGAATTTTAGGTTTAACTTATGACCAAAGTCTTGAGTTACGACTTGAATGCCAGTAGATTGTCAGACTGTAAACAAAGACTTTCAGTGCCAGAAATGTGTACATAAACATCAGTCTGAGCCTAGATGCGGGTTTCTGGTTGTGATTTCGGGCAGTGCTTTACAAAACTGCTACAGTCACTGCTATCAAGATAGCTTCTGGCCCCCCAAAAGTTAGAAAAGCAGCTAAGGAAGGAAAGGAAGGGTAAGAAAGAAAGCAATCAAAAAGAATAAAGAAATTGTGGAGAAATATGACAGTGGCATTCGTATGACCAATCTTGCTAATGCTGAAATCCACCATCTTGACAATCTTACACAGAAAAGACGTGTATAAGAAAGCTACTGTTGCTCAAGGTGTTACTTAAATTAGTAAGTCACGATCAACAGTGCTAGACAAGGTAGAAAGGCTATTCATGTGGATAAATGAAAGGCCGATGGCAGGTTATACTGAGTCTATAATTTGTGAAAAAGCTAGCGCTATACATGCAGCTCTCATAAAGGATAATTCATAACAAATGACGATGGCGGAACATCTCAGGCCAGTAAGGGGTGGTTTTTAAAGCGACACACGGGGTTTGTAGTGTCACTAGGCATGGTGAGCAGTGAGTGCTGAAAGAGGCCGGCTGCACACTACACACACCGCTGTGAAAAGATGGCACACATAAATGGCTTTTGCTCTCATCAGGTTTTCCATTGAGATGAAAGTCGCCTTTTCTGGAAGAAAATGCCCAGGAGAACATACATTACCCAGGAGGAGAAGAAAATGCCAGGCCACAAGCCTCTGAAGGATAAGCTAACCTTCCTGCTATGTGCCAGCGCGAGTGGTGACCTCAAGATAGAGCCTCTCATGGTTTATCACTCTGAGACCTGCAGAGTGTTCAGAAAACAGACACGAAGAATAGACGAGGGATCATGTGGAGATCTAATGCAAAAACCTGGGTAACAAGAGTATGTTTTCTTGAGTGGGTCAGGGAGGATTTCTGTCCCACTGTTAAGAAATACCTAGAGGACGAAGGTTTCCCGCTCAAGGCTCTCTTCACCATGGACAATGCTCCCGCTCACCCATGAGATTTGGAAGAAGAACTGGCTGAAGGATTCCCATGGCTCTCAGTCGAGTTCCTCCCACCTAATACAGCTCCTCTACTGCAGCCTGTGGACCAGCAGGTCATAGCTAACTTAAAGAAACTGTACACCACGGAACTGTTCCAGATGGTCTGAGGTACAGTTTTAATCCTTAAAAAGTTCTAGAAGGAAAATCACAACATCATTTCCTAGATGTGGTTAGATGAGAAATCCTAAGCCAATGTCTCTCTAAGGACACTGAGATCTGCCTGGAAGAAAGTGTAGCCTAAAGTTATACGCGAGAGAGACTTGAAGGCCGTGTAGAGGAGCCTGACCATTAAATTGACCCTATGGTTGATGACACTGTCGTTACAGTAGAGTCCACAGGCTTGCAGGTAGACAGTAGTGATGCTGATTGAACTGGTGGAAGAACACTCAGAGGAACTTCAGCAACTTCTGGCTGAGCAACAGAGAATGGCAGCTGAGGAGCTTTTGGAAGAGGAGGAGCAATATCAACAATCAGTGCAACAAAGTTATTCTTCTGAAATAAAGGAAATCCTGGAAACAATGGAGAGCTACAAATACTTGTAGAAAAGACCCATCCAGACACAGAAGAAGCCAATTGTTGCATTCACTTGCTTAATGACAATGGCATGTCATACTACAGAAACGTTCTACAGATAAGACACAAACAGACAACCTTAGACCAGTTTTTAGTTCTGAAAAGGTTGAGACCTAGTGAGCCAGAAGCAGGTCCTAGTGGGCTACAGACTCTCCCTTGGAGAGAGAGGACCCCAGAGAGCCAGGTTCCTGATGTTCTTATGGAAGGGAGCTCTCCTTCCAAACAATATCCACCTCGCATTCCACCCTCCCTTCCTGCAAGCCAAAGATGTCAACCTGAATGGCGAGTATGGTATGGAATTGTTGTTTCTGGGAAACTAGGCAAATTTTGTAACTTCTTGGTGAATACACTAGGAAAATCGATGGTGTTTCTGATAAATTATGCACATTATACAACCCTTTTTTTATTATGAAAAGGTTAGTTAAGGGGTGCTTTGGGAGGTTCAGAATGTATTATGGGTATCTCCATTATTTCTTATGGGAAAAGTAGTCATGACCTACCAACTAGCCCCTACAAAGGAACTGAGTTCCTAAGTCAAGGGTCCACTGCAGCTGGGGTTCAACCCTGTACCCAGGTAGAACAATGTCTTTTAAAACACTGCTTTACCCAGGCCTACATGCAACACCCTTTCTCTACCCGAGGCGTAACCCTTAAGGAGGGCGTGGAAGACGTGCGGAGTCACGCCCTCGCCCCACGGACAGAGGCTATTCACACTTCTCCTCCCTGTGAGCCTAAGCACCGTGGAGGCGACCAACTTCTCACAGGTGTTTGCTTTGCTTTGTTTTTTTATGAAGAACTCTGAACAATAGTTATCAAGTTGGCCAGGCAGAAGAAAACAAATGTTACTGGCTTTAGACGTCACATAATTCATGGACACAAAGCATCAAGACCCCAAAACTACTTCTGGTTAAAAACCCCACTGTGTCTCTCTGGCATCTTTGCCATTAGTCAAAACCCACACTCTCTGTTATTTGTCACATCGAGCTTGATGCTTATTCTTCCTCCCTGACCAGGCCCACTGTTGCACTCTCACTGTGCCCTTTGGATTCCCATTCCGTTTCACACCAATCACCCTTAACTTTAAATCAGTTTTTTCATATTTTATCTTAATGTAAACCCTTGTCTGTTCCCTAGGGATTCTGACATTCTTGGAGCCTTCTCAGAAAGTTCCTAACTCTCAGTCAGGCATGGCGGCACACTCCTATAATCCCACCAGTTGGGAGGCTGAGGCAGGACAATTGTTGAGAGTTCAAGGCCAGCCTGTGCAACATAGGGAATTCAAGGCCACCTTATGGTATACAATGTGATCCTCTCAAAAAAACAAAGGCAGTTCTCACGTCTTAACCGCTTACCAGTCCAATTATTTAAATATAGGATGACCAAAAGTTGCATAATTTCTTGTTAATTTTTGTAAGCTAAACAGGAAATATAAAAGTGACAATTTTATCAAATTTATTCAATGCAAGAATCAACTGGTTGAAATGACAACTGCCCAAGCAATGCTTGGGATAGTCAGTACACAAACAAACGTACTGCTGGAGTGATGTTTGGGGTGAACTGTTTGTGGCTAAGTCTCTCCAGTAGAAGGTGCTGGATCTTCAGTCTTTCTACCCATGAACAGTGAAAAGATTTCACTATACCACAGCTAGAGCTAACACCTAGTCTTCCCCACATGAAATGAATGCTTTCATACCTTATTCCAGCACTTTTCTCTAATCCATGCCCCTAACACCTAGGTTTTTTTTTTTCTTTTATTAGTGCTGGGGATTAAACTGAAGCTATATCCCTAGTACACTTTTATTTCGTGACAGAGTCTTGCCAAGGTTAAACCAGCCAGGTTGCGCTTAATCCTGCAAGTCTCCTGACTCAGCCTACCAGAGGATGGCATTTCAGGAAGTGGCCGTCACCCCAAGCCCGAGGAACTTGTGTTGGTCACATTCTGTACCTTGTCACCATCTGCACTGATCCACCACTTCCATTTACACTTTAACATGCTACTTTCAGACCACAGGCGCTCCCGCCTCCTTCACTGGCACTCCAACCCTTAGCTTCAGTGAAAGCATCAGTTTTCTTTCGGTATTATTCTCTTCTCTTTTAAATGAGGATGTCATAGTTCATTTAATCACTTCCTCCCCTTTACGATGCTTTATAAAGAATTTTATAAATTCTTTCCCTTCCTTTTCTCAGAAAGTCACAATGTGAAATAAATGCAACCACTGACTCTAATCCCAAATTAAATGCAGATTTGATGCTTAAAAATGGTAAAATAGTTAAACACATTTCATGTCTCAATTTAGATGATAAACTGGTAATTAGCTGACACTCCTTAACTGACCTCAACACCACCAGATGCTCTATCTCCTCAGTAATGGAACAAACTTTGTTACAGCAAGCACACCAGCGTTCAGTATGGCCTGCATGTTGTTTTTCTTTTAAAACGAAGATGTTAATGTATGGGTTATTTTTTCTAAACTAAAAGCTAAGTACTCAGGTTTAATTGCCATGTTGGCACTCTGAGATAATGAAGTGGGTTTGGGTTGCAGTTTGGGCACTCACCTCTAAAAGGTTTCCCATTGCTGTTACAGTTTCAGGACAGAGTCGACTTTTCACACTTCTACACATTGCTTTAATGAGTGACCACTTAATAAATGTACTAATAATGCTAACCTAGGACTTAAATTTATATAAACCAAAAGAGAAGGGGAGGGAAGATACAGATGGCTTCCCAAAACCTCTAATTTTTAAATGATACGTAGTAATACCTTGCTGTTAACCTCTTTTTAATACATATTAAACTTTAATTCAGGCCTATAAAAAATTCTAAAACAGGTAGAAAATAACTTGAAAACTTAGTTTGTTTACACTGACATTAATTAAAGTAAGAATGAATTTCTGACTTACCATGGCAACATCATCTAAAATACTCTGAGGTGAACTATGCGCCATAACCTAAAAAGAAACAGTATCATGGTGAAAGGAAGCAAAAAGCAGCAGTCAGGAAGTGTTAAGGTTCACATTCTCGAAGGACACAGGAATTTCTTGTGGCTGAGAAACTGTCTGTAAACTTTTTACTCCAGGGTCTTAATCACTATACTATCTTATCTGCTAACAGTCAAACCCGACTTACATAATTTTAAATGCTCTAACAATTACAAGTGAAGAAGGCAGCCTCGGTTTACTCTTTTTTTGTTTGTTTAGTTTTGAGATACGGTCTTATTGCGCAGCCCAGGCTGGCCTCAACTTCCAGCAATTCTCCTGCCTCAACCCCTTGACTGCTGGGATTCCACGCATGCACCACCACGTCCAGCTGAATTTATTCCTCATAATATTAAAAGGGCAGTTTGGAAGAAGGGTACAGTTAGAACTTTACGGGAATATGGTGTTTCTACTACAGTAATCATCCTATTAAAGAAAACACTATGCTTTGGGGGAATAATGGGAGGATATGATATACTTTGGAGATTAAGAGCCTAAGTGTAAGAGGCAAGACATTGCTGCTTATTTTACAACCATGGCCAAAACATCTTTCCCTTAAACCTTAGCTTCTCTTTGTATAAAATGGAGATAACATTAGTGACTTACACTTCCTAAAGTTCAGATATAACAGTACCCGCCCAAAACTCAGTAATCAGTCAATGAACACTGACCACTATTATAATATGGAAGGAACCATATTACTATTTTAGAATGGGTGGCTGTTGGGCATGATAGGGCATGCCTATCCAGCACTTGGGAAGCTGAGGCAGAAGGATCACAGGAGTTCTGAGGCCAGCCTGAACTACAAACTGAGACCCTATCTCAAAAAGAAAATGAATCACTAACAAAGAAGGTTCGTGAGACAAGCTATATATAGGCTGCCTCCATAAAGCCTTGACTGTACTTCAGCAGTACTCTAACCAAGACAGATGGCGACATGGCATCCTCAGCAACAAAAAAGCAAGCGTAACTGGCATAGCCAGCAATTCTGTCAAGGGTTTATTAAAGCAGCAATGGGTCACTTAACCAAAGCTGAACTACCAAGGACTTCACAAAGCAAGGTATTTTATTTCAAGAAGGGTCTACTGTTTTAAAGTATAACATAAAATGCTGGTAGTAGAAGGAATAAAAGACTAACCTTTGAACAAACAAAATCAACTAATGTAGCTTCTTCTTCACCTATGTATTCTATGATTTTCTTATTAATCCATGGTCTAATTCGTCGTTCCATTAGTATCTGCAAAACAAAGCAGTTAATGAAGTAAAGAATTAGTCTTTTATTACGGGTATTAAAGCCTCACAACTTTTAAGACTAAAATATACTATGTTCATTCACAAGTAAGTAAATATCAGGAAATAATTTTTCATTTCTAATCTAGGAAGACTTCAAGAATTTGGAAGAATTCTTGGAAGACCAAAAATTTCTCAAATGATATAAATTCAAATGATATAAATTCAAATGATATAAATCAAATGACTTGTATGCCCCACTAAGAACCATTCCCGACAATCTGATGAAACACCACTACTCACAGAATCCACAATAGACCAATCCAGAGGATAAGCAAAGAGCTCAGGTTTGGCTGTTGGGATTTTCTCGATAAGACTCTTTATGTGTTTGCGCTTTTCTTCAGTGTTCACAGTGCCCTTGGCAGCATTTTTATCATCTTCACCATAATCCAATGGAACCAGTTTCCTTTTTCGCGGCACATCATCACTATCTTCATCCTCGAATTTGTTAAAGACACTATCTACAGGTAGCTTCTTCCTTTTCACAGAATTAGGCTGACCGGGACTATTAGACGCACCTACAGTAAAAACACTATTTTAGCATGATTTCATTTCCGAATGTTGTATCTGACAACCCACCATCCCTCAAAAGCAGTCCAAATACTTTCACAAACGTCAGAGAAAGATCCCAACTGTAAAAAGTAACTCACTACTCACAAGTGCTAGAAAATTTAACTTTTCACTTCTTCTCAGAACTCGAGGCAGCTGCGGATATAGGAGCACTAGTAGGACTATGAAAACAATTGTGAGCTAGAAAGACATTTTTGAACTTTTCTATCTACCTATCAAGCAGTACAACTTCTTCCCTTAAAGCAAAACACAGAAATTTGCAGGGAGAGGGGAGAGAAAAAGGATGGAAACACTAACATACCCAGTTTAAGACTTAATCCTATTTTTGGCCTATGTTCCTCGGGCTGCTGTTGATCTGGTGAGTTTTCATGAGGAATAATAATACCGCAGGGAGACTCGTCCCCAGGAGTATTGGGCGTTGCATTGCCACTGGCAGAAGAAACAGATGGGGCAGAGCTGATGGGCCGCAGAGTGGGTTTCAGACAAGGCTTTTGCTCAGGCTCTTCTTCTTCTTCCATAGGTTCTTCTCGTTTTTCTTCCTTTTCTTGCTTTTCTTCTTCTTCTTCCTCTGATTCTGGCTCCTGCTTTATTTGTGGCTGTCTGCGCCTCTCCGCCTCTTGTTCCATCTACAACCAAAAGTTAACTGATTAACTTGGAACAGACTTGCTTTTCAGTTTACAGTATTTCTTTATTAAAGAAATCTAACCAAAGTTTTATTTTAGAATACTGTAAGTAATATGTAAAGGGCAAGCGAAATCCTCAGAGGATGATCATATACAATTATTTGTTCCCTTTAGGTAAAGACTGAAGCTAGTAGTCACCTAGGTACTGGTAAGCAGCAGGGAAAAGGAAGAAATAGGGAACAGGAGGAAATTTTGGGGCTGAAGATCTACACCAAAACAAACACCCAAATCCATAAAAGATGTATGAGAAAGAATTTAACGTAAGGGAGTTACTAAAAGTTAGGTGACTAGATCAATAAACTGCTTCATTTTTGTTTTCAATATTGCCAACACCGCGCTTTACCGACAATGATAAAGCCTAAGTGCTTTGTCAACGACAACAGAAAAATTTCATTTTGAAAATTAACAGGAATGTGTGAAAAGACAAGGTTTCAGCCAAAAGCATGTAACAGATTTAAAAAAAAAAAAGATTGAGTGGTGGGCCTGGTGACATGTCTGTAATCCCAGCTACTTGGGAAGTTGAGGCAAAAAAAGTCTCAATTTCAAACCCAGCCTGAGCAACATACACATAGCAATAAACTATTTAAAGAAAGAAAAAAAAGAAGAAAAATGACAGGCAAAATTCATCTATGACTAGATTAATGACATATAAAAACTAGAAACTTTCCCACAATGACATTGTACTCTTGAGTGCAAGTTTAGGGATGTCATGACCTATCACCCAGTCTCTTTCTTCTTAAAATGACAAGCTGCTAATGAAAAATTTTAGAAAGAGAACTCAAATCAGAAAAATTAATTAAAAAAATAATTTTTAAAAAAAGTAATTAAATACCAAATTATAGGAAGGAATTCCAGCAAAATTTTATGAAAGGCACCAAAACTAAAGGAGCTGTTTTATTTATAAAATGTTTATAAATTAAATGACCTCTAATTGTTTGCTCTTAGAAGATGTTTAGAATTGAGTTGTAAATCAACTAACACTGCTGATTTCCATAATATAAATAAAAAGTACTAAAAACCTGAAACAAGGGGCTGGAGATATAGCTCAGCAGCACAGTGCCTGCCTGGCAAGCACAAGGGCCTGAGTTTGATTCCTGGTAACTGATAGACTGATGGATAGATGGATAGATAGATGGATAGATGGATGGATAGATGGATAGACAGACGGATGGACAGATAGACAGATAGACAGATAGTTTGGTAGATACCTTCAATAAAATAGCAAGTTCTTTGGAACATAATGTATTATTTTTCTTAACTAAAATTAAACATTACCATAGCTAGTTTTAAAGTAACACAATAATCTTAAAATCATGGTGGGTATGGTAGTATCTCACCCTCTGGAGCTCTGCATCTGGATCTGGGTGCCCTTCTGCCAGAAGGCGTTGCCTGATTTCCTCAAGCTCTTCCTTTTCTCTCTTCCTATCCCGTTCATCTGCTTCCATTTCCTTTTCTCTATCACGCAACCTTTTCTGAAGAGCACTCCCCCTGCGAAAGTGGCAAGCCTCATTTAATATCATTACCTATTTTACAGATGTCTGCAACAGCACATTTTCCATATGAAAGACTGCATGCATGCCACGGACTAAGACTGTCTTAATGTTCTATATCTACAGAGACAGAGAAATAGCTGGCTTTTTGTGTGTTAGTGTGTGATAACTGAGCACTGTCTGCTCATGTATCACCTCAGTTCATCTTGATAATCCCTCTAAGAGTTTAATCACTTAAGTGTACACTAAGCATCACTCAGGCAGTATGTTTGTTTATATAATGACTATTCCGAGTATTGCCTGGGCAGGTATCATTTCAACCAGTCAATTCTTGTATTAAATAAATTCGATAAAATTGTCATTTTTATATTTCCTGTTATATTATCTTCTACAAAATAAGAAGAAAAAAATGTAATTTTTGGTAATCCTGTATTTAAATAATTAGACTGTTATGTGGTCAAAACAAGTGAAAAGTTAACTCGCAGAAGGAATGAAGTTCTCACTGTGAATCTCCAACATATAATTTGGTTTTTCTCATATACTAACAGATGAAAAAATAATACAAGTAGCATTAATTCCACAAAGAATAGTTCTGAGACCAGGCAAGATGGTACATGTAATCGCACCATTTGGGAGGCTGAGGCAGGAGGATCACGATGTGTTGAAGGGCAGCCTGAGCTACACGGTGAGACCCTGTCTAAAGAGAACTCAAGTACAAGAGTAGTTCTGGGCCTAAGGGTGTAGATCATTACGAAATTATGGTCAGTATGTAAAGACCTTTGTTCCTAATACCATCTAAAAACAGTAACAACCCTCATGAAGTCCAAGTTATCTATCCACTGCCATTTTATGATTCTAATATTTGGTAATTTTATTGATTTTGTGGTATTTTCTACATTGAGGACAAAACCTTGGCACTCTTGCACCTGAGGTGACTAATTTCAAAATTTCAATTATTTTGGATGCAGCATATTAAATGTAACTATATATTCAATGCCTTCATTGTGCCTGTAGCATGTCAGGTACACTACAGATAATACAATGGTATCAAGACATTATCCACATCCTCAAAAAATATACAGTGTGACTGGGAAGTAACAAGACAATTTCACCTTAATGTCATAAACGGGAACTTTAAAATGCTGGGAGAACAAAAAAGGAAAGTGGGTGTCAGAATTCTCACTTCACACTAACGCAGTGATATGAAGATGGCAGGGCAGCGGGGCCTTGGACTGTTACTCTTTTCTTTTCTTGAAACAGGACCTCACTATGTAGAGCTCAGGCTGGCCTTAAACTCACTAGGCAGCCTGGACCTGAATGCGCAGTGACCCTCCTGCCTTGGCCTTCCAAGTGCCAGGGTTAGCGTGCACCATCATCAAGCCCAACTGGATTACTATTCTAGAACTCCTTTAAGACAAAAAGTTCTACGTAACCCCAAGTAGTCATAAAAATTAGTCATAACGTGTAATAAAAAGTGAACCTACTTAAAATACAATGAAGAAAATAGGATTTTTGGGTATAATGCTATCATGGCTCCCACCTGCAACCTTCCAAAATACACAAAATTGTTAATTCTTATGTAACAACGCCTCTACCATACATACACTGCAAAAACAACATTACTGACTAAAAGAATGATTATAAGATGTACTATGAGGATTTCTACTTTCTTACTCTACTTAATAACTCTGTATTCTGGCAGACAAAGAAAGTTCATCTATGCACGCCTGTAATCCCAGCACTCAGGAGGCTGAGGCAGGAGGATCACTGTGAGTTCGAGGCCAGACTGGGCTACAAAGTGAGCTCAAGGACAGCCTGAACTGCATAGCGAGACCCTGTCTCAAAAAGACAAAAAAAAAAAAAAAAAAAGAGAGAGAGAGAGAGAAAGTACACCAAATAAAAAGCTGAGAAGATGAGTTCATAAAGCAAACCTTCTTTACCTGTAGTATTTGGGATCATCTCTATCATCATCATAATCTTCCAAGAATTCTTTCAGTCGTTTAGCCTCTTTAGCCTTTGCAGAAATGGACAATATATAGAAAATTAGCATAACAGTGATTCAGATTATCCCATTCCCCAGAAAAGATTGTTTCTTATTCAGACCATTTACCCTGTATAGTTTTATATACTTCATGTATTAAGTGTGTACTATATTAAACACTTTATCTTTCACCTATAAAACAAGTGAGATTTATGACATATCTGTGAATAAAAACTATACACCATCCACATTGTTACAATAAATATTTTCTCTGAATATAATCTTCAAAGTATAGTAATTTTCCGAAGAAACCAGAACATACAAGGAAACCAATTATCTTACTACATTTATTAACTGGACAAAAACATTTTACATTTCATTTTGTAGATGGAAGACGCAGCAAGTAGTTTCTAATTTCATACAAGAATAAAAATCTGTATGATTTTAATGCATCAACTCAACAGTAAGGTAAACAACGTATTTTTAAAACTTTTTTCCCACCCACAATTCCCACCTACAAAATTTTAAACGGATAACAAGCCTATTTTCAGAATTTCCAGTACAACAATGTATATACATATACCTAATTATATATATCTTATCTGTATGTCTATTATATATAACCACTATATCGACAAATACCATACTGATATATAAACTATATAATCAATTGTGACTCTCAGTAAACTTTTAACATATTTCATCTAAGTTTGTTTTTTGGTTTTTTTTTTTTTGCCTTTTTGAGACAGGGTCTCACTATGCAGTTCAGGCTGGCCTTGAGCTCACTTTGTGGCCCAGGCTGGTCTGAAACTCACAACGATCCTCCTGCCTCAGCCTCCTGAGCCCTGGGATTACAGGAGTGTGCCACCACGCCCGGCTTCTATTTCATCCATTAAATGGATGTCTCTTTAAAAACTTCCCCAATCTAATCATCAATCCACAAACAGCCTCTCCATATAGGCAACATTAGCATTTTTCCTGCATTTCCAAATTATTTTGAAGTATCTTTAACCATCTGAAACATATACATACACAACATCCTATTACAATAAATCCCTTATCTGATGATATTGCTTCCTTCTTATAAAATCAAGCTTATGAGTTATTCCTTTATGTCCAATATGTAAAGCAAAAGGCTGAGGTATGACAACTGTCAAACTAATAAAAGCAGTTTGTCTGCTGTCAACAGCAGTGTTATTTATATATATTTTCAATTTTTTAAGTAAGGTCACACAGGAAAGACCATAAGGTACAAAACAATATGGTTTGCTAGTCTTTTCTCTCCTCTGAATGTGGTACTAGGGATTGAACCCAGGGTCTTCATACTGAACTACAACCTCAGCCCTTTATTTTTATTTTAAGACAGGGTCTTGCTAAATGGCTAAACTCCCAGCAAGGGCTTGAACTTTAATTCTCCTGTCTCAGCCTCCCAGAGCGCTGCTATCACAGGAATGACCACAACTAGTGTGCAATTAAGCAGATGGGGGGGGGGGGCTTTCACTTTTATCTCATGTATTTGCATAATTTGACATGAGCCAGTAACTACTCCTGCAACAAGATATTTTAAAGTTCCAAGACAAAAAAAAAAAAAAAGAACGGGATTTACTAGGACCCCACAGAATCTTTTCAACAGTTTATTCCACAGTATTGTTGATGGCATTTCCTCTTGTCTTATTACACTATTCTATTCCTACTAACAATGAACAATGAATTCTAAAATGGGATGTATAATCTCACTTTCAACGTAATTTTTTAAAACTAGAATTATTTTAAATAAATCTATGACATTAAAGGATCTAGTATCTGGGAAACCCGTAATATCTATCTAGTTGCTGCATGCACCCTTTTGGTTACTTACAAAAATTCTCTCTATGTCTCATGTTCAAAAGCTATTTGAAGAAGATTCCTAACTTCAGTGAAGTTTTTGGATGAATAATCTCCAAACTGGAGATTAAGAAAATTTCATATTCTGGCAAAGACAGAACAGATGGAACATACTACTGAAGCAAATACTATGATAAATAATATTTTTATAAGTTTACTTAATAACTATGCCAATTGCTTCACTGTTACAGCTTATCAACACTGCAAATATAAAAGGCAAATTCATTTTATGACTACCATGCAGTTAAAGGATAATATGATAATTTAAGGAAAAACTAATTTGTAAATGTTACATATAGAAACATTATCTTTGCTTTATAAAAACTTCACCACACCATTTGCTTCATTCAAATGCATTGCACAAATTCAACAATTGTGCAGGTTCTTAATCAAAGAATGTTCTGTTAATTTTAAGTTTATGTATTATTTCATTATAGATTTACTTTGACAATATGGAAATACAACTTTATGAGCAACAAATATTTGAGAAACAGAGAAAAAGATTTGTGTACTGAAATTGTCCCACGGTTGCTTGAAATACACAAAAATTTTCTGTAAATGCAACTTCACATTTAGTAAGTTACTTCTAGTCAACAATGGAATTTGATCTGATTTTCCTGAAAAATCACTTGTTAACCGAGAAGCTTACCATTTCTCTCCTTCTTTCTTCTTCTCTTTCAGCCTCCTTCTCATATTCCCGAGTTTTCTTTCGTTCTCTGATTTCCCAATTTTTAAGTCTCTGAAAAAGAAAATTTCAAACCTTTAAAGTTCTACAATTTGGACTAACCTACTAATTACACTAATTTTTAACAATAAAGGATAAAAAAGTTAGGGTGAGGATATAGCTCAGTGGCACAGTGCCTGCCTGGCAAGCACAAAGTCCTGAATTCGATACCCAGTACTCCCCCAAAAAAGGGAACTGATAAAAAAGTTGTACCAAATAAAGAAATTAAACTTGCAGAAATGATTTTAAGTAAGTGTTTCTCCACTTACCTCCTGATAAGCAGCTTCTTTCTCTCGGAGCTTCCTTTCAAGTTTTCTTCGTTCATATGCATCTTCCTCATCCTCTTCTCGGTCTCGTTTCTTGTCTTTCTCTCTTTCACGCTCTCGTTCCCTCTCGCGCTCTCTCTCACGCTCACGTTCTCTTTCGCGTTCCCTTTCTCGCTCTCTCTCTCTTTCTCGCTCTCGTTCCCTTTCACGGTCTCTGCTCTTTTCTCTACATGAAAAAAGATTTTTTAAAAAATCTGTCACTTTGTTTTCCTTTAAAGACCAACAGAAAATCATGTACTATGAAATATACAAACTTCTAAGCCAAAATTTAACATTTGGTTTCTGCAATATTATAAAATCTGCTCAGCAAAAGCCACAGACCAGCCGGGAGTGGTGGCATATGCCTGTAATCCCAGCACTCAGGAGGCTGAGGCAGGAGGATCGTTCGAGTTCGAGGCCAACCTGGGCTACAAAGTGAGTTCATGGCCAGCCTGAACTGCATACCGAGATCCTGTATCAAAAAGACCAAAAAAAAAAAGATACAAACCAGGAGCCAAAGGTATAGCTTTATAGTCAGTCTAGTCAGTCTAGTGCTTGCCTACTTAACAATGACAAGCCCTGGGTTAAATCCTCAGTCCACAAACACAAAGAAAGATAAGACAAACCAGGCATGGTGGCAGACTAATCTCAGCACTCCAGAGGCTGAGGCAGGAGGATCGTTGCAAGTTCAAGGCCAGCCCAGGCTATAAAGTGAGCTCAAGGTCAGCCTGAACTGTACAGTGAAACCTTATCTCAAAAAAAGACAAAAAGGAGCTGAGGATATAGATCAGCGGCACTGTGCCTGCCTGGCAAGCACAAGATCGTAAGTTCAATTCCAGTGCCAAAAAAAAAACTAATAATAATAATAAAAGGTAAGACAGACTATAATTCCAATGGGAAGGGGAATTAAAGAGATGGGGCTCTAATGACCAAGCAGTACAGCGCTGGCAAACGTGGAATGAAGAATTTCACCATGCTGCATAGCATGGACAAAAGTTAGAACTATATGTATTATCATTTCAAGTTACCAAATATTTAATTCAGAACAATAAAAACACAAAATATATACAAGTAAGATCTATGTACACATGTCACAAAAGTAAAAGGATTCTTATACGTGTCAAATTCTCAGTAACAGCTACAGGGAAGGATCCGATAGACATTAAAAGACCCACTAGTAACTGAGAGAGCCCTGTACTTCCAATTCTAGCAGCATGAGTTAGTGATCAGAAGTAGACCTCCTTCCTGCTATACGCGATAAATAAGCAGAAAACTGCCCAAAGTCATGTAGACTCTAAAATTGACTTGAAAAGAAGAGGTTCCATTCTCTTCTGTTTTCCTTTTTTTGGTTCAATCTTGCTCTACCTAACTCCTAAAGAATAAGATGACTCATCAAATGAATTCCAATTACCAAAACTTAAAACTGAAAACAAAACAAAGCCCCCCAAAGGTGAAATCATCAGGAGCTAGGAACGTAAGCAGTAGCCACCTAGTAGGCTGCACACCTCCACATCCACGCCAGGGGCCAAAAGGAATGGTGCTACAGCTGATGTCTCAATATACAGGTCCTCAAAGAAAGGATAACAAGAAAAACTGCTCACTACCCTAAGGAGGTAACAGGGAATTATGTCTTCCCAGATCACTAAGTAGCAGACAGACAGGTATGCTCTGGGTCTCTGTAAGAGAACTGGCTTAGGGCCGGGTGTAGTGGCGCACACATGTCATCCCAGCACTCAGGAGGCTGAGGCAGGAGGATCCTTGAGAGTTCAATACTAACCTGGGCTACAAAGTGAGCTCAAGGTCATCCTGAACTACATACTGAGACTGTCTCCCCAAAGAGACAAAAAAAAAAAAAAAAAAAAAAGAAAAGAAAAGAAAAGAACTGGCTCAATGAAGAATCACAGTTGAAGTTACTTTTACCAATGTTATGTTAAAAAGCCAGACGCCAGATGTGATGTTGTGGTTAAGGAAATTCCCCATCAGATTAATGCAAGCAGTCCTACAGAAGGGAACTCTCGGTTCTACCACAAACAGTAAACTCTGTAAACCGTACCTTGATCGACTCCGATCCTTATTTCGATCTGAGCTCCTTTCTCGATCACGGTCCCGATCTCTCTCCCGATCGCGGTCCCGATCTCTCTCCTTCGTCCGGTCACGGTCCCTATCCCGTTCTCGTTCCCGCTCCCGTTCCTTCTCCTTTTCTCGTTCACGTTCTCTTTCCCTTTCTCGTTCCCGTTCTCGCCTTTCTCGTTCCCTTTCACGCTCCCTCTCTCTTTCTCTCCGTTCTTTCTCAATTTCCTGTCTTTCTTTTTCCTTTTTGCCTTTCTCTTCTTCCAGTTTCTAGAAACCAATAAAAGTACTTTTAGAGTTAATTCTGTAGCTTCAGGATCAGCTTCTTCTCGACGCAATGTCCAATATTGAGAACAAAAACATGAAACCACTGGTATTTTACTATTAAATACTTGTGGTTTTACTTGAAAAATTCAAGTTAAGCATTTACAAGAGTCGTTTTTTGTGCAAAACCATATACCCTACACAGATCAGGAATCCCCGATCTTGAATGACCGTGTCAAGTGTGGCTGGTCACGTCATGACTGTGTAACAATTTAAATGACCGTGAGGAATGTGGTAGTTCACAGTGATTTCTAGAAATACAACTGCTTGGCTAAAACTTACTTCTGCCCATTACGAGTATGCATAAATCAGCGGCACTACTAATTATGACCCCGGACTTCCCATTATCTAAAGTTAGACAGCCACCTAGCTGAGGGCTTTAAAGGGGAGCTGGGGGAGATACATGTCACTGTAACACAACTGATCTTCTGCACTCTGGTTTAACCACCCTCCAAAGAAACAAACTGAATTCAGTCAAGTTCCGTCTGTTTAATCTAAAAAATATTTATTCCCACCACAAGATGGATAGCCCACCAAATACAAAAACTTTGAAAAATTTTCATTTCAAGCAAAATGTTCATAATTGCATTACTGTCACATAAAATATTTAAAAACGATATATTAATGCCCATTATGTCTGCAAGACAATAAGAATATATATTTACAACGATAAATCCATCCTCAGAAGGAACGATTGTGTATTAACTTACAGATGCTGTGCTAGGACATGGATCGCCAACACTGGATTACCCTTGCCTACAAGCTATGTTTCTGGGAGGAAGAGCAAGTACACGGTTCACAAATAACAAAGTCAGACCAAGTTCGTACCCTGACAGATTTACCAGTGTACCAAAGGGTTTCTATGCAAACTCAGAAAGGAAAAAAATAACCAAACAGATAAAACAAAACAAAAACAAAACACATTTACCCCTTTGGTTCCATATTTAGTTTCACCGAAATGAAATTTAAACTGCAACAATAAAAGGTTCATTTTTCTTTTCTCAGTCATGTAAAGCATTTAAAACAACTTTAAAAAGCAGTCTTACCTGTTAGGTACTCTTTTTCCTTTGTTCATGGATCAGAGAACTGATATAGAATTATGGAAAAAAAAGCTAGTGCATGAGACATCAATATATTCAGCTGCAGTGCCAGTCTAAATCAAAGTAGAATGCAGGCAGAGCCAATACTGAATACATTGAAATTATAAAGAAGAGAGGTAAGAAACAGTAGAATGGACAGAGACTAAAAGCTACTAAAGGGGCAAAATCTCATTTCTGAAACAGTTCTAATGGAATATAAAAATTTATCCTCTACAGTGAGGCTAAATTATATAAAACTTACCTCAATGTCATACACATAAAGAATTTTATTTCTGAGATAATACTTACAGATTATTTTAGTTGTTCCAATATTAATTTCTTTTGTACAGTTCCTCAATTTTTTACTCTGAAGCTTATTCACTGTGCTAGTTATTCTGTTACATGAAATAAATGTTTCAGAACTCATTTCAAAAGTGGATCTAAATAAATGAAGTGAGTGAATCTAGTCTATATTGAATGTTTTCCTGAAGTTATTTATAAATATATATACTATAGATGAATGTGTACCCAGGTAGATATATATATATACAGCATATATATGGTTTTAAAAGACTTGAAAAAGAAGAAATGAGGTGAGTCTAAAATGTAAGAGAGTAATGAAGAGGAAAGGACAGATAAAAAACCGTAAATCTTACCTTATTCTCTCTTCAGACTCATCCGTGCTGTAAATGGACGCCCCCTGCCACGCTGATACCCTGACAGTCTGCGGTTATTTAATAAACTCATACCAAAACATGCAAAGGTTCACTGAGCTCATTTCTTGTTACTGGAGTTTCAAATATCCCCCACCCCGACCCACACCACCCATGGAGAACTAGTTTTTTGTTGTTGTTGTTTTAGTTTCTGACTTTTACAACACATTTTGGAAATTAAAAACATTCCCCCAATGAAATAATACTAAGCCAGTGAAAGTTAGATTCTTAAAATTCTGTAGCAAGTATCTTTTGAATTAATTTTTTTACCACATGGTTTCTTCATAATTTACAAATAACATTACAAGGTTTAACAAATGAAACAAAAAGAGGGTAAACCACACACACAACTGTATACCATTTTTAAGCTTACTCAGCCCTAAATTTGAGTAGTGAACTTAATCGAAAATATTTTTCTAATAGGAATTCCCACAGACCACCATTTTAACACTGAGAATTTGGGGAGAGCTACGCTTGTGCTTTTAGACATGTTTAATTCCTCAGAAAGCACTACGTATTTGAGCCGAAAGTGTGCAGCACTGAGTCTTTGGCAGTATCAACTTGGGGTTTTAAAACCAATGGCAGGAAGTAAGACTGACTACCACTTAACACTTCACCGAGTTGAGATCTCTCAGTCTATGACTAAGGAGCGGCAACATCTTATTACCTCTAACATCAAAATACATTTCATGCAGTGTTTGCATTTCACCGTCCGTAAACATCACCTGCAACACCAGCGAACATTCACAGATGCACTGTCATTGAGAGAAGCTTTAAATAGGCAAAACTCGTGAGTGGGATTTACTGCACATCAATACCCGTTTCCAAGCCAGTTACCCCTTTGCATATTTTTCTGAGGGGGCATCCATAAATATAATAAAAAACAGAAGCTCATACTTACATCCTATTCCTTGTTACTTTCCAAGCTGACAGTTTCATCTTGCATTAGTCACCATATGATCTCTATCATAATGGTGGGGGTCAATGAATAGATTAGCTTTATGGGAATTTACAGTTCTTCCATGCATCTAAAATTTGGTAAGTCTGGTAACCACTGACCTACTTTTTAAAAATCTCCCCCACTCAACTTAAATCTATACAAATATAAATCTTAAATTTTAATCTCCGCTCTAAAGAAAAGTTTTTCCTAAAATTAAGTTAAATAACTGTCCCCAAAAGTACACTACACTGTATGTATGTTATCCTGCTGCCCCCTTGAATCTATTTTAAATCTGACCTTGATTTTTATGTTGAACTCTAAAAAATTAGATTTTACTCATATTAAAGTGAGCAACTGCAGAGTAGTTAGTAACTGAAAAAACTAAGCGCAGTGTGTCAAGGATCACTTTAATATGGTACTAATTTTCCATTTTTTGTTTTTACCTAAGTATCAATTAAACCTACAAAAAGCACTTAAAATTATATTCTAATGTAAGGTTGATTTTCTTGTCTGTTTGCTCTGGATTCTGTAAAAAGTCTAGATTGGTATCAAGTGAAAAAACAAGAATACTACCTTGTGTGTGTCTCTGAATTTGCTGATCTCTCGAGATATCAGGTCTCTTTTGTCCTCTTCCATTTCTATAGCATTTATATCCTCCTAAAAGACAAAGGGAACATGAGGTAATGAATTAAGATCAATCTACATACATCAATATGGAAAATTATAAATATTTTGTACAAGTCTTACAAACATATGATTAAAGAAAAAAACTACAGTAACAAATCTAACATCCTGAAATTAAAAAATGAAAAATTAAGATATAAAAATCACGATTGCGACTGGAGATATAACTCAGGGTCACAGCACCTGCCTGGCAAGTGCAAGGTCCTGAGTTCGATTCCCAGTACCACCCCCCCCCCAAAATCACAATTATGGCAGTTTAGCATAAGAAGAAGATAATGTCAAAGCTTACGTTTAAACGAACCTTAGCGATGAGCGGGTAAGGGATCAGTGGGGCAACTGGAAATCTGCGGAAAATCTGTGGGAAAATCCAGCAAGATTTTTAAAAAAACAGAGCTCACACTACTCTGTACTTTTAATATTTTCTATATTTATACTGTAAACGTCAGAATACTTGTAGTATTTTCTTGATTGCAAATTACTTGCAATTAAAAACTATTTCATTCTCTTTAAAATTTCTCTTATCATCCACTACTTGCTCTCCCTCCAATACTCCCAGACAATGGAACAAGGATCTCACTGCAGCAAGGCTTTCTCTTCAATCTAAGACAGAAGACACACTGCAACAAAATCTGCCTATAAACCCTGCCAAAGAATAGGATTTTTAAAAAAATTTCCTCCTCTCAACCCTTATCAAACAAGTGTCTCGTTATTTTTCTTCTTTTCCCTTAACGGGGAAAGAACAAATTATGCAGCCCTCAATTACTCCATACCTGACCGACCCTACCAACTACACTGCAATGGAGTATGACTACACAGGCTCTTAGGAACACACGAAGAACGAGCCAAGTAACAAAAATACACATGGGCTAAAAGAAAACTGAAGATAGCCTACAAAGACTCTGAAACTAACCACACTGATAAATATTTTATAATATTTTTTCATGGGGTGTAAAATTCATGCGTATAAAATGTTTCTGATATTTTAAAAGAACACTTTCCATAACTTTTTCAAGTATACTCAAAAGAAATGAGTACAAGAGAAGCAACCATTTCTTTCAAATTCGAATACTGTTAAAATCCTAGTCATTGTTTTCCTCTTAAGAGTTAAAATGCAAAATCAAAGCACAAATGTATCATCATAAAAATAACTGCAGATGTGATTGTGTGATGTCAGAACACGTACGTCCTCCTTCTTTTCCTTCTTCTTCTTCCTGGGATGAGAGTCAGACTCCTGTGAGGGGGCATTCAGCTCGCTGGAGTACTCTCGGATGAGAACTTCAATGGCCCCTTTAATCATCTGGTCTCTTCTTTTTGTCTCTTCATCTAAAGCTTCTTCGTCATCATTAGCAACGGTTTCGGGCCTGGCATTCTTAAATTGAAGAGGAAAGAAATATCAAACAAGAAAATTCAAGTGCTTCTACAATAAAAATTAATAAAAATGTGTTCTCTCAGCATCTCCACAGTCCCACTAAACAGCTGCTTTAACTCACAGCTATCATATAAAACCGACAAAAGCAAGAATAAACAAGAAATACTAGATAGCAATATACATCAAAATACAAGCATTCTGGAGGGGTTAAGGACTGAAATGCTGACTTCACCGTTCTGCTTCTAAAACTTTTATAATGTAGGAAATGCCACTTAGAGAAATTATACCAACTAAGAAAAAAAAAATCAACTCTAAATAGTGCAGCAATCTTCCTCATGACTGGCTCAGGTAACATTAAAATACACACACAGTGCATGTCATGCTTCTCACACGCACTTGTTATATTCTACAGATAATCATTTAAGAGATCAAGTCTAGATGAACTTAGTGTCTCTCAGGGGAAAAAGAATTATTGGGGCTACAGCTCAGCACCACAAGCGCCTGCCTGGCAAGCACAAGGTCCTGAGTTCAATTCCCAGTACCAAATAAAAGAATTACTGTCTTATGTACGCTGCTATTTTACTGTTCCTCAAGAACTTCTCGATTCCCTGTTTCTTCTTTCATTTCAGCAACCATAAAGCATAATGAGTACTATCTGGGACCAAAAGGTGAACGTTTGGTCATATAAAAGAGTTTACACAAATCAACTCTTTGCCTGGATTGTCTATGTAGCCCCTGATATGGTTCTCTTCAGAGCAATGAAAAGCCTCAATACTAAAGCTACTAGCTATGAAGTTGTTAGAGAGCTCTTGTAGGCTCAGTCTTTGACTTCTAGAAACCAAAAGAAGAACCACGCTGGAAGAAGAACCTAAGCAGAGTTCTTCTGAGAAAATGCTGACTTAACTAGACTAACTTCCAGGCAAAGATGTGAAGATACTCTCCTGAGCACCTGTTTGCTGCTAGAGTATAAAACACTTGGCTGTTTCCAGAGTACTGTACACTTCAAACAGTGGTCATTTGCGACGACAGGTAAGGGCATTATTTTTTTCCAACTATAATTCCATCTTTTCAGATTTTTAAAAAGAACAAACATACATTGTGGATATGAAGGGACAAGAGGCTATTTCTATTTGAAAAATAATTAAATCTTGATGAGTCTAAGCTTTATACTTTGGAATCCATGTACTTCTAAATGAAAAAGCTATTTTGGTTCGTTTTTCTTGGAAAGGAAGACAATAAATAAATTTTTGGATCTGTTCAGCTTAAGGTGACTAAAAGAAAGTAGGACGGGAAAGTGAGGCACTATATACTCAGATTCAAACTATGTTTTGTTTTAGTAATAACTCAACATATAAAAATTTCCTTTTTTTTAATCTTCATTTAAGATAGCTGGAATAAAGCCACCCAGCTGAGTAACATAATACTCGTCATTTTCTTTCATTTTGGAAACTATGTACTTCTACATGAAAAGGCTAGTAATAAAACTTTGTGTAGGTTGAAATATATTTCGTACTTAGATAAAAAGATGTCTTAATGAATTAGCTCTGTTTGGAACAGTCTGTACCAGTTTTTCTCTGGCAAGTTCCCCTTGCCCAACCTCCCCTGCAACCTTCATTCCAACCTCAAACAAGCAAACCAACTGTCATTCACCCACTGTAAGTAAATAAGAGACCTAAAATAACTATAAACTAAAATACCACCCTACATTTAAGCCACAGCACCTGTTATGGTGATGGTGATCTTGTCAATCTTCATATTAAATTCTTTTATAGTGGAAAGTATTTACACTGAAGTACGACAAATGGCTAAGAAAACATACCCCGTTAGAAGCTTTCTTTTTTGCTTTCCACTCATCCAGCTGTGCCTTTGTTTTGGCATCAACTTTCACAAGTAGCTTCTTCTCTCCAATCTGAAGGTCATGTAATAATCTGAGTGCACGGAGGGTAGATTCAGGCTCCTTATACTCACAGAATCCAAAAGCTATTACCAAATGCAAATAATTAGTGAATATCAACGCAGTGATGTAAGATGGAAAAATGAAAAGAGGTATGAAAGGAAAGATTAAATAAGTATCTTTTAAGCACTCAGGAGGCTGAGGCAGGAGGATCGTTGCAATTTCAAGACCAGCCTGGGCTACAAAGTGAGCTCAAGCCAGCCTGAACTGTATAGCAAGACAATGTCTCAAAAAGACAAAAAATAAATGAATATCTTTTAGTACTGAATTTAGTGTACATTATTAGCAAACCTAAAAATCAAAGACTAAAGCAACTGCAATGAGTACACCTAGTGATTAGATTGTGATTCTGAAAATAATTTCCCCCTAAAAGAAACAGAAAAGGCTAGTAATAAAACTTTGTGTAGGTTGAAATATATTTAAATAATAATATATAAATAATATATAAAAGAAATGGTTGATTCCTAGAGTGGAGTAAAAAGAAAAAACTAAACGATCTTCGAACACCTTGTTATAGCAGACAATAAAAAGGCAGTGAAGACTATATCAACACCAAGTCAGTGGCAACTTCAATCAACCTAAGCTTTAAAGTGATGATAGCTATAGCGAATCCACACTAAATAGAAGAACACTGAATAGTGAACTCTGAATTAAAAATGACTGGAAAAAGCAAAACAAAACATTGGTCAATGCTAGAAAATACTGAGGACACCAGACCACTTTTCCCAGAAATAGAGCCATTTATCCTATCTTTCCAGTATCAGTTAGGAAACAGATAAATGGTACACAGCAGGGAAAGGTTCTCCTTGTAGAAGTACTCTACTGAGAAACGAAGACTTCTTCAATGAAACAGCGACAGAATTGTTCGGCATAGACTATTACATTCCGCAACCACCTAAGAACGGACATGAACTAAGGAACTGCCAATCAAAAGCTTCAAGTATTAAAAAAAGAAGACGACATGACATGTGTCCCCTCTAGGAAAAATATTGCCTTTATGGTATTCTTATAAAACAGGTATTAAAAAAATAACCTATAAAAATTTGAGTCTAGGGGCTGGGGATTTAGCTCAGCGGCAAAAGCACCTGCCTGGCAAGCGCAAGGTTGTGAGTTCGGTTCCCGGTACCGGAGAAAAACCAAAAAAAAAAAAAAAAATTTGAGTCTAATCAAATCTCCAGATATAATGCTAAGCAGTTTACAGACAATACAGAGGACAGCTTCACAGCAAATTATACTACTGGAATAGGCAAAACATCAGACATAAATGCTACTGTGTAAATGACAAATGATGCCCTTTCAAAAAATAAACTGCAATGGAAATGAGAATAGGCAGAATAACAAAATAGCAACAGACTCTTAAAACCATTTGACAACTAATTGCAATGTGTAGACCTCACACAGATCCTGAAATTAAACATTTTAAAAATTAACATTTGAAGCTAGACGTAGTGCTGTAAGCCTAATAGTCCCAGCTATTCCGGAGGCTGAGGCACAAGGAAGGACGTTCCAGATCAGCCTAGGCAACTTGGCAAATCCTATCCCAAAAAGGAAAAAGAGCCAAGGATATAAGTCAATATCACAGCACTTGCCTAGCATGCATGAAAATCCTGGTTCAATTCCCAGTACCAACTGTCCCCCAACTCCCACTGAGACAAGACAGCATTTGCACAGTGACTGGATATTTAATAATATTATAGTTAATTCTTTTTAGGCGTTTTTTTCTGTTTGGTTTTGGGGGTTTTTTTGTGTTGTTTTGGGTTTTTTGTTTTCTTTCTGAGACAGGGTCTCGCTATGTATTCCAGTCTGGCCTTAAACTCACTATGTATTCCAGGTTGGCCTCGAGCCTGAGGCAGTCCTACTACCTCAGCCTCCCAAGTGCCGGGGATTACAGGTGTGTACCACCACATGTGGCTTATTTTAAGGTCTTATAATACTATTTTATACAATAGGTGTTTCTGCCACTTAAGTATGAGAAGTAGTTTTAAGAGTAAAGGCCACCTAACCAATTTTTTCCCTCATTTTTGCCTAAACTCTAATTATTCCAACTTATCTTGGTAGTAGTGGTACTGGATATTGACTGCAAGGCAGTGCACGTGCTAAACTCGACCACTGAGCTACATCCGTACCCCTACTTGTTCCATCTTCATTACACAATACTGCTTCCAGACAAAACGGTAACAACAGAGCCTGAATTCTTTTCATTTTTAACTTCTAACTCCTTTCTGTTCTACTTTGCCAACTGTTGACCTCAAATCTCAGCCAACTGCTTCTCAAATGCCTTTTAATCCCATTCTAAGAAAAGGACAATGAAAGTAACACATAAAAACAGTGACTTACAACAGGTAAAAGTGATCTAAATAAGGAAAAGATATCTTACCTTGAAGTTTTCCAGAAGCACCTTGTACTCTCTTCCAGCTCAAAACCAAACCACATTTCTTTAAAAAAAAAAAAAAAAAAATGTAATTTTGGTGCAAGTAACAGCACAATTCTTAGGGCAAGAAGGTACAGAAGTGAAATGTAAGAGCATACCAACAACCAAGTGTCTTAAAATTATCTCAGCTCCCACATTTATTACAAGAAATGTGTAAGAAATTTTAAGAATACAAGTTTTGACTGATTAAGAAAATTCCCTGTGTTTTAAGACATTAGAAATTCTGCAGCATCATTCACCCTACCACATTAGATAGACAGATAGACAGATAGATAGATGGATGCATGGATGGATGGATGGATGGATGGATGGATAGATGGACGGATGAATGGACAGACGCGAGAGAATGAGAGGGAGGGACAAACAAACCTTAAACACTCAAGTGCCTGACTTGGTCAACTGTTTGTAGAATGATTAAATCCAAATAAACTGTGTGCATTACTACTATTTTAAAATGATACATTATATGCAGTGGCACAGGAGAATGCTTGATAATATATGCAAAAATAACTCTGGATAAGAAATAGCTAATACACAATGAGACTTTAACTGTAAAAAAAAAATTCTATGTAAAATACTAATCAGAAATATCCCAGGAGATGCAGTGGTGTAAGCTTTATGGAAAAGTCCAAGCTGAACATGGATCCAATTCCCAACATCCTGCAAAAATAGAAAAAACTCCAAAATGTAAAAGGGTAGGGAAGAGGGACGGGAAAGGGAAAAGAGAAAAAGAGAAGGAAAAAATGGAAACCAAGCTTTTGTAAATAAGGAGAAGAGGGGCTGAAGGGAGGGCAGGGAAAGGGGTAAAAAAGAATCAGGATGTGTCACATACAGGTACAAATTCTGTATGATGAATGGTTTTCTTTTTTGTCTTTTTGAGGGAGGGTCTTACTCTGTAATTCAGGCTGGCCTTGAACTCATGGTATAGCCCAGGCTGGCCTCAAACTTAGCAGTGATCCTCCTGCCTCAGTCTCGCCAAGTGCTGGGATTACAGGTATGTGCCACCATGCCTGGCCATACGATGAATGTTATCGTTATATATATCTAAAATGTACCAATAAATTAATTTTTTAAAAGAAAATATATGCATAAGCATTACCAAAAAAATGTAAAGGTGGCAGGTTATTTGAAGTATTAATGCACTTTGCAAGAAAAACTTTCGTAAATAAGGATGAGAAGAAGGGCTGAAGGTAGAGGAGGGAAATGGGCAAAAAGCAGCAAGATACATCATGTAGTTTTCTCCTTCCTCACAGCAGTGCCGGGGACTTGCAGCGTACCGCTTGTCTACTCTGGTTCAAACTGAATGCTGTGGCAGAAGCAGAATCCAACATCCTCCTGACCACCAACTCCTACAAAGTTACACTATAAACAATACCCACCCAACACAAGCAAAATTTGTTTCTATTGTTTGTTTTGTTTTTGGTACCAGGAATCAAACTCAGGACCCTGCACTTGCCAGGCAGGCTCTCTGCACTGGGCTATATCGCCGGCCCAGTTTACTTCTACTTTGAATGCCGTGAAAAGACAGAAAACTCAAAAGTAAGAAAGGTGAAATACGAGAAAACAGTATTTTATGGGCTGTAGTACATTCTTAATAAGTACTTATTGGTTCTGCTTTTTTTTTTCTGGTACTGGGAATCGAACTCGGGACGTCACACTTGCCAGACAGGCACTGTGCCACTGAGCTAAATCCCCGGTCCCTTACCAAGTACTTAAAAGGTAAGGTTGTAACCAAAGAGAAAAGGAAGCCAAACGTTTCCAGGATGAGGTTTGTAATGAAAGGGATGGAACAACATTCTTGAGATGCATGATGGGAATCTCCCCACAGAAGTGAAGGCTGCACAGTAACGGTGGCCCACGCCTGCAATCCCAGCACTTGGAATGCTGAGGCAGGACTGCCGGGAGTTCGAGGCCAGCCTGGGCTATACACTGAGTTGAAGCCCAGTCTGAACTATACACAGTGAGGCCCAGCCTCCAAAAAAAAGTAAAGGCCATTCCTGAGGCCTCTGTCATCCCCAGAAGAGACGTTCTCGTCACAGTAGAAAACACATATCCAAGTACTAATTACAAATTGGACTGAGACTATTCTTCAATCCTAGTATCCAACCACAGTGGCCACAAATTCTAGAGAGGAGAAGAAAATATTAGCCAAACGTTTGATAGAAACTTCTGGCAACTTCAGACAGTCTGGAATACAAGTAATGTGATTTCGGCTACAGAGCAGTCTTTCCAAGAGACTGCTGGCATAGGGGTATCTGCTCATTTGATTAACTTCAAAGAACAGATACAGCAGTGAGAATTGCTCTAATTGAAAAATAATACGGCAACCAGGCGTAGTAGCACATGCCTGTAATCCCAGCACTCAGGAGGCTGAGGCAGGAGGATCGTTGCCAGGTTGAGACCAGCCTGGACTACAAAGTGAGCTCAATGTCAGCCTGAACTGCATGGCAAGACCCTGTCTCAAAAAGACCAAAAAAAAAAAAAAAAGAAAAAAAAAAGAAAAGCACTATGGCATGGAAGATCCTGATCCACGTTATTCTACTCCAGCAGCAGCACACAGGAGGGCAACAGCTTGGGGAAGACCGTGAAAAAGATGCTTTTGAACATATAGTGACGAAGTCTCCATCAGTGCCTGTATCTGTCATCAGCAACAGCCGTTACACAATGCGTGAGAGAAAACACGGGGTGAAGATCTAAGGCATTTCACACTGTCAAGAAGTACAGAGCCACCACTAATACTCAAACCTGATTCTAGAAATCCTCTTGATAATGTGTTAAAGGTTTTACATATTTTAGGTAAAAAGTTTATATTACTGAGAACTCAAAAGGCTGCAAGTTGCTGCCACCTTATCTTAAGAGTTATTCAAGGGAATGGAGTAGATAGTAATACCTATTAAGAGATTATAAAAGGCATGAAACAAAAAAAGTGGAGCAATGAAAATGTTTCCTGGTTGGGTGTGGTGACACACACCTGTAATCCCAGCACTCAGGAGGCTGAGGCAGGAGGATCACTGTGAGTTTGAGACTGACCTGGGCTACATAGTGAGTTCAAGGCCAGCCTAAACTACACAGCAAGACCCTGTCTCCAAAAAAAAAGTTTTCTTAGGTTCTGGTGGACCTTTGCTGCAGAAATTAACTAGAGATCTCTTGAACTGTTCCTTCAAATTTAGCTATGTTGTCATTCATCAATGGCCTTGGGTTTATTGTCTTTAAGGATCTACCTGCTAATCCCAACAAAAAGTCCAAAAAGGACCAGTTATCTTTACGCAGGACACCAGTAGGGGATTCTGATACACTTGAGGAAGGAAAAGAAGACCTTGAGAAATGTGGTCAGGATCTTCACCATGCTACCTTCAAGAATGGGCAGGTGATCAGAAGCTATTCCTTTGATGAAAAAAGAATGCACAAATACAGAACTGGAAGCAGCGCCTCTGCCGTGTGACTGGGGGCATGCATGGTTGTGTACCTGTATGAGAGTTTGTAATACACATTATTTATGGTACAGTTATGTGGGGTTTGTGTTTCATGATATATTACAACCAAATAATTTGTTAGTTTATGGATATACTGCCCTGTTTTTCTCTTATTTCCACTCTTTAGATGATCTCAAATTAGGCAACATACATAACCATTGTGAAAGATTAATGCTAAAGTAAGCTTTTTAGGGTCCTTTGTTGATAGTAACTCAATCTGGTATTGATCTTTTCTCAAGTAAGAGAATCAAAAGGCTATTACACATAACAAAAGTAAAGCAGTTTTCCATAAAATTATCATGACTGCTTTGTATTTAACTTGTAATTTTGTACAATCAAGATTGTGTAAGGTATTTTTTTAAGTTTCAGTGATTTAACAGTCTTTCCAGCTGGGCGTGGCTGCACATGCCTGTAATCCCAGCACTTAAGAGTACTGAGGCAGGAAGATGGCTGCAAGTTCAAGGCCAGCCTGAACTGCATAGTGAGACCCTGTCTCAAAAGGACAAAAAAAAAAAAAGTCTTTCCAATTTTTCATGATTTTTATGAGCACAAACTTTCAAGAAAATACCTAAAAATAAATCATATTGCTTTTTGTCCATTAATCAGCAAATAAAATATGGCCTTAACAAAATTGTTTGTGTTCTTGTACAATTTGAAGTTATGTCAGGGCATACCCTACAAAATTACTAACCTCCCTGCCCCTTGTAGAATATGTATTAATTAATCATTCTACACCTAAGAAAAAATAATGTTTCTGCTGGAATGTTTAGGCATTGTACAGTTATACACCTTGGTCAATGTCCTGTACCAGTGACATGGCAAATTTGAAAGGCCTGTACTACAGTTTTATGTCAGATACTGCCTGTAGTTCTAACATGCACCTCACAATTTTAAGGAGAGAATGTTTTTAAAGAGAAATTCTGCTTCCACTGTGGAATGTATGCATAAATGTAAAATATTATCAAACGTGGAAGTAGTGTATTTTAAAGTAAGTACACTTCTGAATTTATTTTTCACATTCTTTAGTTGGTATGACAAATTAATTAATTAGAGTGGGTAGTGAATGTACTATTTTAAATATTTCATTCTATTTTCATTAAGTTTTTTAAAAATTAAATTGGATATTAAATTGCAAAAAAATATATATTATGTGCAGGTACAAATTCCCTATGATGGAGGCTGGGGATATAGCTCAGTGGCATAAGCACCTGCCTGGCAAACGCAAGGTCCTGAGTTCGATTCCCAGTACCAAAAACAAACAAACAAATTCCCTATGATGAATGTGATTGTCGCGTATATTAAAAGTGTACCAACAAAACTTTTAAAACAGAAAAAACTAGAAAGTTAAAGAAGATGCTAGTTGTGAAAATACTGTAACAATTACCTCCCAAAGCTAAGCATACATACATTTTTCACATGTTCCCCTAGAGAAACCAATAAAATGATAATTGACAAATATAAAAGGACCCACTAAGGTCAAATGAACAAGGAAATGGCAACAGATTTCAATAAAATTTTGAAAGCACAAAAT